TTAGTTGTTTAATTTACTCATAGAAGATAATTAATTGACACATTTATGAACTGCATTCTTTTATTGTTTTAAAAAAAAGAGCTTTTCAGCAAATGAACGTGCAGGAAAAACTGTTAAATTATTGTACTGACATATCTGAAATAATCTACTTCGTGAAATTTCGCACGTGGACAGATAGAATGTCACAAACGTCTCGATCACGTGGCCACTACGATTCCATGAAGATTACCTGGTATCGATGCAATTTTGAGCATCAACATCGACTTTGCTTTAATCGAGGATTAAATTGACAATCTCGAGAATTGATTGGTTAATTTCGAAATTAATCCCCAATTGAACTTTGACCTTATCTTCATCATACGATTGACATATCGATATCTTGTCACGTTTTATTTATTTAAGATATTTCAAATCGGATACACACAATTGAATTAATACTAGTTTTATCCATCAAATGACTTTTTTCATTTTTACGTATTTTAAAATTGTTGATCTGATTGCCAGCAAAATGCTGTAAAACAGAAATGTGACAGTAAACTGTAGAAATGGTAACAGAATTATATCTCCACCGGCATCGTGACGTTGTTTTGGGGAAACTTTTTGTTTTCCACCCTCACAGTCTATGTAACTGGCGATCGACCATCTTGGCAGGCTCGATTTTCTAGAAAACGACCACTCAATTTGGAGTGCCCCAAATTGAGTTCGTAATCAAAGTTCGAGTTAAGCCATTAAAATCAAGTTTTATCGACTTCTACGATGACACACGTCAATTTATCCGAGAAAACTTATTTAAAATGAAGTTTAAGAAATCGAAGTGTCATTGATTGTAAAGCAAGGAAATGACTTCCGTATTGAAACTTCTTGCAGAATATTCGATGAGAAATTAATTAGTGTCATTAATTTTGATCATAAAAATTTTGTCAGATTAATATCAGAATATTTTTTTTTCATTGAAGCGCGATTTTCTGTAAATTTGAAGATAAAGAAGACATGATCTTTTTATTAAGAAAAAAATATATTTTAATATTATATTATATTAATTATTAATTATGTTAAACATTAATTATTAATATTGAATAATAATTAATTATTATTGAATAGAAAGAACGATTTTGCTGAAATTTATATCTGATAATTTAACTAGATCTGAAAATAATTTTGTTCAACTATCAAAATAATTACATAGGACGCTCAAGTATAATAAACAATGCAAAAAGTTTTGATATTTTAGCAATCAGCTTTAAACATTCTACATAATTATTTTGAGGTCTAACAAAATAATTTTCAGATTTGTATCTAGTTGACCTTTTAGATACTTTAGCAAACCGTTCTTTCCATGAAACAAATGTCATCTATGCATATTTCTTGTTTAAAATATTATAAAAAATTTAGTATTCTATTTATATTTAAGTTAATATTGTTTTTCAATCAGAGTTTTGAATTTATTAAATTTAGTATGTTTAATAATAGCATGAATTTATTTAATTCAATTTCTCCACATCTGTTATGGCAATTTGTAGTTTAATACATGAGTCGTATTCGATCATCTACGGAATAAAATTAATTCCGTTACCTTTGTTTCATTATTCAGTTCTCAGCTTATATCCATTCTCGCCCTAGGGAGGGAATTAACATAATGAATTTTGGCTGCATCATATGCCTCGCCATTTATCTTTTGCGTACGTTCAGTTCTAAGTACCAGAATTAAAGCGGACAGTAATTCTCATGGGGCTCGGCAAATAGTGGAGAATGTTAAATTAAGATGACTCATACGTACCTATAGTTCGCAATAATTTACCAAATATTTATGTGTACTATTTTGAAGCCGCTCGTCTGCCTCCGTCGGATGCATCGCCATTTCACAAAGATCTTTTTATTATTGTCGCTCATTAGTCATTAATGTCGTCAGTCCGAAATGTATTTCCCTTTCGCTATTTTACTCACGATTCTATTTTACGTTGCAATTATTATTCACATCGCGTAAATAACTTATCTGGACGTGGACTTATTGTTCTCTTTCTTTTCCTTATATTTTCTGCAGTCTCACTGATGTAAAAAGTAAACCGTATTACGGACGTGTTGTAACACATATGAAAACGTAAATGAAAATGAGGATGTCTCCACGTGTACCAGATGCCAGGAGAATGACGCGCGCATTGTTCCCACGCACGTCTGACTCTGACAGAAGCTCAATGATTCGTTTGCCGATTGGCAAGGCCGACCAGCCGTCGGCGATTGCTTTCACGCATGGGCGTGAATCGCTTAGCCTCACCCGAATGAAAATATACATACGTTTCAGCATAGTTGTTCGCAACGACGAAGTCGGCTTCCGATTCTTTCGCGTCACAACTCTGCGCGCGATCAGATTTTGAGAAGATATATTCAATATTCCATTAAACTATATCTCGACGTAATCTCGTGGGACTTGCATCAAGACTTGATAATATTTTCCTTGATAATTTTATAATACCAAAGTTAATCTGTTGCTTTAATCAGGATGAAACTCAATTTATGCTTATCAATGTATATTAACTTAAATGAACTTACTATAAATTAACTTTAATCTAGGTTACTTTACCTTTTTCTAGTCTTAAAAATTAGAAAAAAATGAAGAGTCAGTTGAACCGAGATTAAAGTTAATTCACATTGGTAGAAATAGGCATTAATAGCTAATCTAATCATTGAAAATTTAATCTGAAGAAAATATTGACAAGTAGACAAGATTTTTTTAAATAGTAATACTGTTTTGCTGCGAAATACAAGCATTAAGTATCACTTAAGGAACATCGTTTTCACGTTACTTTATGGATCCGCTTTTAGAAGGCGATAAAGATAAACGGTAAAAAGATACTTTCGTTTCTTTAGCTTCAACGAAAGCGATGGAATTCTCTTTAACGCGGCTGAAAATCGTCATGTTCGGGCATTCTCATCAATTCTGTTTTCCTCCTAATAGCCGATGTGTAGTTGGCAACGTTACAGCGGACGTTTGACGGAATAATGTGCATGCTAAGTGTGCGCATACCGAAAGAGTTTTTGCACGCTGTATGTCGTGTGCAGCTATAAATCATGGAGTCCTTCAAGCAGAGGAATGTAGACTATATTTTCTCTCTACGAAGACAGAGAAAGAGAGAAAAATAGAAAAGCACCTTTCTCTCTGCTTGAAATTTCCCAAATCATTCTCTCGCTAGGTCACACTCGAATTTTATACTTATCTCATCGGATAACGTGCGGATGTGTGGGATTTCTGCTCGTCGCGAAATCCAGCTATCCGCAAAATGTTTATCTGCGTTTAAATGCGGGCGTTTCGATAACAAACGCGGAAAAAACGAATGATTCTGCACTTATCATGATCCTCATTAACACGGGATGTAATGGAATACTGAATAATGGAATCTATTAAATACTCGCGATACGGAGACCGGCTTTCAAAATAAACGTCCGTTTCTGTATTGACATTCGACCATCTAGTTTAATAATCAAATGCAATTTTTGTGTTATTGATGAAATCAAATATTAACGTGCAAGATTACTCATCGCGATATTATAATAATAAGCTTTTATCAACACGAACTGATTGGTTTTGCTGTCTATCCGATCAGTGTAGAAGTATGTATGATCCTACACAGAGAGTATTAATGAAACAAATGCTCTTACTTTAATAAAAACTTTATTTGTTTTATTAATACTGTTATTGAAAATTAATAAGATTATTTTTAATTATACCGCTGCTGACCGATGCTATTAATCACTTTTTCCATGTATAGATGTAAAAACATGATTTATTTTCTTATTTTATTTTCTGTAATCTTTATTGAGAATCCTTTTATCGTTTGATCTGATTTATAATTAATATATGTATTTTAAAAAGTTACGAGGTATATTATCAAATCCGCATATCTAATTCATCGTTTTACGCTTCGTTTAGCATTGGTCTAATTATTTTACATCAGCGATTATTAGTTATTAATCAGTCAAACAGGTCTCTCACGAATAGCCCTATTTGAGAACACACGAGTCGTTAAACTCGCTTTGATAATTTTCAATAGGTGACGTGATAGACGGGGGTGGAATACGCGACATAAATCGTAATAACGGGGCCCGCGTATTCATACCCGCGTTTGCGGTAGAAATACCTCGCATGCCCACGCGGCGAGAGCTAAATTAACAGCATGCGGCGTAATTTTAGCGTAATGTAAATCGATATCACCGCGGTGCTCCCCCGCTCTCTGGCACCCCCGTAACGTGAACGTCACGGAATCCCGCTTTGTACGAGACATTTCGCATTTTGCCGGGAGAATTGCGGCCGAGGCTGTAAATTTTACAAACGATTGGCAACCAGCCAGACACATTTTTGTTACGGACTATGACCGGCGTAACGCTACACGCCGTGTCGTGCACCCTACGTTAATGAACACCGTGCACTTTCGCGCTATCGGAATGTACCCGTGTCACCTGCCCACGGTGGCATGCCTATCGTGCTTTATGCCGCTCGCCAAGTTCTCGATCACCACATTCTCACGTTACTCGTGTGAATACGTTCATATCGGAATCATGTGTCTCAGTTTCAGGGAGATAAGTATTTATTTTCCGTCGCTCCTAGAATTAGCTCACATCTTTTCCTTATTAGACTTCGTCGTTTAATAAATATTTATAACATCATAATAAAGTATTTACACGGGAAGAGTTAGGTCTAGACAAAGAAATGAGAAGGAATTTAAGTTATTCAGATATAATTTTAACTTGTCAATGAATTTAAGAATCTTAGAGATTTCGAACGATCCGCCACTCCAATATCTGTTTCTCCCTTCTAATATCGCTAAATGATGACTATGAAACACGAGCCAACCTCTACGACGCAAAGGCCGACGAACCAAGGCCGAGCCTGGTGTAACCTTACCAATCACTCCTTCTCAGATATTCGCTTAAGCGAGTTCTCCATCTCCAAGCGAGTTCTTTTCTGAACAGCGATGCGATCGATTTCCCGTTTGACAAACGCAATGTAATGTCAATTGTCGTGGTGAAATCACCGTGTTGATGGTCGGGGAAAGAAAAGATGAGACGACGATGAACGGCGAGCGAGATTCGTGACTGCGTATTTCGCGTATTGCGGGAAGAGAATCACGAAGAACGAACAGAAGGAAGAAGAAGCGGGCCGGTCCGGTGGGGCCCCGGCCATGGGGGAGACAGTATGTTCTCCGAGCTGTGCAGGGAGACCCTGCGGAAGGCAGCAGTGTGTTACTCTGCTCGTGCAGGAAGTCCATCACCATCGCCACCAACGTCTCCGCCGCCATCACCCGCCAAGGAGGCAAAGACTGCTGCCAACGCTGACCTGGCAAATGTCCGTGATGCCATTCACGAAGGAGTCAGAGACCATCAGCACCACCACCATCATTCAGGGACCACCACCGCCGGAAAGCGAACGTCGCCGACCGGAAACACCACCAGCGAGTCCGGCCAGAGAGATCCGGCCTCAGAAAGATCGGCCTCCGATCGGCCAACCGATCGTCCGAACGACTTCAGGGAGTACGTTTACGTCCGGTGCGCGACTGACATTAGTTCATTACTCAATGTTCTTTGGGAATAGATCGAGCATCAACCGTTGGTTCCTTCCAGAACTTACATTCTGATAGATAAAAAGAGATTGATTTTTTTAGAACAATCCTTCGGGATAGGCAGTTCATTTAGCTCCCATAGAACTAATTGTCTGAATTTTTATGGTTTCTATTCTGCACTCTGCGAGCTTTTGTTACATTATTGTAATCTACAACTTATATGATTAAACGTTTCACGGATATTTTATATATATATATATATATACACACATAAAGATAGTTTATGTAACCCGAAATTGTAAAATTATTATGATTATTATTTCTTTCATTCTAGTTACCATTATACAATATCAATCTATAGTTTCAATTTAATTAAAACATAAAAACATGATAACTAGGAAATTGCGTGATTGTTATTTTCGCGAAACAATAATGTTGAACGACATTTTCGCATTGCGACGGTCGATGCTCGCATTGGATCTATTGATCCATTAGAATGGCCTGACGTTGTCATCCGAGAAAATTGATCGATCACATGCATCATTCCGTGAAACTCAATGCAGTTTGATTCGCTCACTTCCGTTTCATGTACCACGAGATTAGCTTTAACGTGCAGTCATCAGAAAAAATCGACAACATTGCACCGACGTAATATCTCGATTTTTAACATAGTGCTAGTATGGCGACATCGTTTATTCTTCGCGCTCGTTTATTCTGAACATACTGAACATACGAGTCGCTTGTATTCAGTTTCGCGATTGAATCGCTATTGAATCAACAGTTTACAGAGCTTATATTTATTCTGACGTGTTATTACATGATAAATGAAAAAAAAATCAGTTAAAAAATACATCATTCAAATAAGACTTTATTAATTAAACGAAAATTAACGCGAGACATCGCGCCAAGTTTGTTTACATGCCAAGAATCATTTCAATGCGTTTCTTAAATCAAATTCGGTTTCTCATTTTCAATTTCTCATTCAGTTCTTGCGAGTCTCATGTCAAAAATTGGAAAAAATTTTTTTTGATACGTAAACCGTGGCGTAAACGTAAACATACTCCCAGAAAGCGACCGGCGATGCCCACTGACTTCAGCAAACGATTGCCCGGACTCGAGGCAAGAGAGGGACGACGTAGTGGCACGTGCGGTACCACCGAGTTCAGGGAGTCCCGATCGGTATCCCCCGAAAAAGGAACAGGACGTCAACACGAGGACCACCGAGGAGGAGGTGGAAGTGCCGGCAATGAATGCGGTAGATCGGACACAAGAATCAGCCGACGATCCTCAGGATCGTCGCCCGAACCCGAGGACAACTCCTCAACTTCTGGCGACGAAGGTACCTTCCCCTGTTGCTCGCATGCACACTGAATTTTTCACGGCTGACCCCGACTAGACCCGTCGGTCTATCCCGCGGGATTGTAAAACATTCGCGTGCTCTCGCATGTCGACACGAATTCAATCGTATAATTCGTACGGCATTCAAAGTGCAAAATTGATTACCATTATCTCTAATCGATTTTTATTCGTAATAATTATATGTATTATCATATGATATGGGAAAATTTAATCGTGTTTAAATGTGAAAATTAGAAAGTAATCGATGTGATAAACTGATCGAATGCCTTCCCTGTATAGTTTTTAAGAATATGCGAAAATATGTTATTTTTTTTATACTCAAAGAAAAACATAGTACAACTGTAAAGGTGTACAAATTTTATATATAGAATTAAATATGTAGGTACTCTCTAAAAGTGAATCAGTGTATTATTACTGACTTCAGTGCTACATTTATAACTGATGTAATCATTAACGAATTACTATTTTTCAGTAATATCTGATATATTAATTTACTTTTGGAAGTTATTTTTGCAAATTAAATCTGCAGAAAATCGTAATCTCTAAAAATGAATCAGTATATTAGTAGTGAAAAACAGCAAGTATTCGCTGATAATTACATCAGTTATGTCAGTTGTTATAGTTGCTATTTTTTTTTCTCTAAGTATAGTTACGCTGAGATGCATGTATCTCATTCCATCGAGATGTATGATACAGAAATTAAATTAAAATTAAATGAAATTTTATTTTATAGCATTATTAAAATTATTTAATAATTGCCTACAATACATTTGCCTAAAAATTCTTGTATTGATTGTATATCAGATTAGATAGCACCTTTTAAACACGTTATTTTTAGAAGAAAAAGAATGTATCATAGAAAATGTTCAGTGATAATCCCTTGAGTGCTCGACGCGGAATAGTGGAAGTTCGATGAGATCTCCGCGTTTGGGAAATACTCTCGGGGATTGCGGGAGTTGTTGATCGTAGTTCTTCTTCGAGGAATCGAGTTCACAAAGTTGCAGAGAGTATCTCGACAAAGGTGAATTGGGAGATCTTAGATAGCTTCGTCGAAAGAGGAGACCACATAATCACAGAGAAAACGTTAATAGCTGCGTTTAGCTTATTCACGCTGTCGCCTCATTTACAGATCATGCAAATATATCATTCAGAATTTGAAGATGAAATATAAACGCAACATGCATTCGAGATTTCATCCCATATTTTATCCCTTTAATACGAAGTATTAGATTATAATATTTATGAATACAAGAAAGAAGTTATTTCTATTATCTGGAAAACATATCAATTCTTTGATTTGTCGCGCAAATAAAAAATTCAAGAAACTCGATGGAAATATAAATCAATACTTGCTATGCGTTCTTTCAAGTATTTGCAGTTAAATCGCAAAAAAGATCGGATATAAATTCCCATTATTACACTAGTTGATAATATAGTATTTTTCTTTTTTTTATTTTTAAGCTCAACAATATAAATGGATTTATACATTGCAAAAAGGCAAAATTTGAGAAGAGGTTCTAATAATATTAGCTATTTTGTATTTCCATATGCGAAACTTTATAGATGATACTTTGCTCGTTTGTGCTCCACTGTGTAACGTTTCCACGCTTTAGAAAAAGGAAACTTTTCAAAGGAGGAACAAGGTCGAAACGCGACCGCGCTACTTTATAGATAAACAATCTGCGATCGATTGCAGGGGTTCCTTTCTTCGGTCTTTTTCCCCTATTGTGTCCTGGGTCCTGGGATTCCGACTATTTCTGTAGTAGACACAAGTACTCTTTTCTTCCCTTAGATTTTTATATCCTCTTATTTACTGTTATAAAATACAACACGCATTCTACTATTATCGCGTCAATCTTTTCAGATTTTTTGATAAATTTGTAATTAATATTTTAAAAAAGAGAAGCTATTACTTGATATTACACTATTTAAGTAACTAAAATAACTGAAATACCTTAATAGATTCTACAAGTATTGAATTGTTTTATAAAAAAAGATAATAAAAAGATTTCATAATAACGTTATCAAATATTTTTATTGTTTCATATTTTAACCAAATAAATTTTATATAGGATTTATAAATTTTCTGTAAGATTTTATATAGGTATGATTCAGTACGCTATATAATAAGCATTACTCGGATTATATATGAGCTATTGCAATTGACATGAACATCTCAATTGCAATGGATTGCTAAGATCGCTGAAGCAATACGTTGATATTCTCAAGGATGCTCGAATTGCTGAGCTGGTAGCTTAACGTGGCATCTTTTCTCACAATTGGAACTTCCCTTCTTTTCCGGAGACTTTCGCAACTATATCAACTGCGCTCGAAGCCTAAAAGTACCAAAAGCTATCTCGCAGTGTGCCAACTTACGATGTTCGACGACACTTCTCGGGTTTGCTTGCGATATCAAATTCTCTTTCCACGTGACCTGTCATATACAAGATCCTCGTATGAGGTTAGCTCTCCAACTTTTGAAAAAATTAATTTTCTATTTGATTACTCGTCGTTTGCACATGTATGCACATTTTGAATTTTCGTTTGATACACTTCTGGTAAAAAATTATTTGAAAAACAATTTTAAGAAGCTAATTTCACGCTAGCCTCCTAATCACGAGCAAATTAGATTTAAATAGTCTCAATTGATAGATTTTCGTTTGCACATTTCGAAATAGTCGATTTTTCATTTACATACCTTTAGTTAAAAAGTTATGAACAATTAAAGTTTCGACTCAGGTAGATACGTTAAAATATAACTTTTTAACAAGAATGTGCAAACGAAGAATCAATTAGTTTCTTAATGTAAAAAAACTAAAACCTATCGATTTATGTCATTTTTGAGTATAGTAATTGCGATTTGAACCTATCTACATGAATCAATTGTCCTCGAAATTTTAATTGTTAATAATTTCTAACTAAATGTGTGTAAACGAAAAATCGATTTATTTCGGAATGTGCAAACAAAAATCTATCGATTGAGGCTAATTAAATTTAATTTATTCGTGATTGGGGGAAATAGTGTGAAATTAGCCACCACATTAAAAATTGTTTTTTCAATAACTTTTTTATCAAAAGTGTATAAACGAAAATTCGAAATGTACATGGGCTATAGAAACTTAATTTTTTCAAAAGTTGAAATTGGAGGTCAACTTCATATGGTTTACAAGATATATTTAAAAAAATTTAACATTGCTTCTCACATACACACAACTGATTTTTTAATATTTAGATTTAGAATTTAAAGCTCTCACATTAGATGCGATCATTTATGTAAAAATTCGGTAGAATTATATTTATAATTTTGTATGTTACTTCTAATACAAAAAATATTTAAAGAATCGAAATATGTGATAAAATTATAAATAGAAATCTGACATAGATTATAAATCTCCTTAAGATTTTGAGTTTTAATTATTTGAGCTTTAATATTTTAATATTAATATATCTCCACTGATTATTAAAAACAAAATATTTCTTAAGCTATTGCTATAAGCAATATAAAAAACTTAATTAAAAACAGCTTTTTGAGAAGGACGCGATATAAACAATTTTTGTCTGGATTCATTAATACGGTTAACATTTCTAATGTTATATTTTTTATTTTTTTCCAGGTGAGTATTCGCCGAAGTTGATGGAAGCGTCTTATCTTTCTTCTACGGTGTCAGGTATTTATAACGGAAAAGTCATTTGCATAATCGAACCTTAATTTACAATACTACCTCTAATACCTGCTAAGAATCGAGAATGGAATTCTTGCCGAAAGAAAATCTAACTATATTTAATCTTTGAGAGAAAAGAAAAGGAACTTATAATCATTAGTGAAAATCGTATTCACATCGATTTGCGATTTTAATCCTTTTTACCGCACTATACTATTCGAAAGAGCTTAAAAGAGTTGACTATACGAGACGGACAAACGCGCGTTATCGCTGTTGCAGGCTATAAGAAGACGCCATTAATTTAAAGAACTTCATTCCAACGAGGTCACTGCTCAGTTCAGCTTCAACTTGCGTTCAACTTGCGTTTTTCCCATTGGCATTTTTTCTACGTTCATTTTTTTCTGTCACTTTATCTGTCAGCATGGAAGACTTTGCTCATTGTTCGAAGAACACACTTTAAAACTCTCTCACGAAGTTGGAATGTTCACGTATTCTTCGGAGGATCTTTTTGATAGCTTCAATCAACATTGTCAGAATTCTTCCAAAACGAACATTCCGATTAAATCGAGAAATCCCGAAGCTATCAATCAAATTCATGTCGCGTGATTGTCTGTGTTTCGCATAAACGTCGACGTCGTCAAAGTTCGGCAGTGAATCGTTTCCTGGCCATTAATTCGATTACGTCGACCATCGACGCGGGCAACCGTGATTAAATCTAGTTATAAATTATGTTGATTATTGTGGCTCAAAATGTACGCTAGCATGACATGATCTAATAACATGACACGATCTAATAAATCATACAGCTACTTTATTTGTGTGCTCTAGTCTTTTGACATTACGAATTAATTTTTTCTTCGAATAAATTACTAGCATTTTCAATTTTGAAATAAACCTCAGAATTTTATAAATTATATGATATTTTAAAGCTATTGTATTATAAAAAATCTTAGTTGAATATTTATTATTTTTTTAGCACGCGATTGTCGCATGCATGCAATTTGTACATGACTGTAAATTAGATATTCCGAACGACCGACTCCGTTTAATCAATGTTTCGAAACTAGTGGCACATGCTTAAAATTAGTCGTACATTTGTAAGTACGTTTCGAGCGCATTAATCGCTCTCTTCCCACATCGATCCTCGGTGTGCTCCGGTATCGGTTGCCAAGAAGACATATTTCGCTAATAGCTTCCTTCGTTAGTTGGCCGATGTTCTGGAATATCTGGGAACGTGCATTTAGATCGCGGAATCTCCAATTTCTGGCGAAACTTGGATTTTCGTGGTATGTCTTGATTCGCATATTTGCTAAGCTAC